TTTCCAGGTCACATACTTGGTCTTAGTCAAGAGGACGAGAAGCAATCATGAAGACTTCTATGGAAACTGTAGGATTCCATCATTGGTTTATGGTGTTTGGTAATTATCTAGTATTCAACTAGGAAATCTAGAGAAGTTTCTCATGGAATTATTCCTGTCTACTCTGGCAATTCTTCAAGGACTTTAAATTTTCTGTTTTAGAGAGCATTCCATGTACACAACTGCAACCTGAGGTTGAATATAGATACATATGGTACTAAAACACTGGGTTTGGGGAGTCTTTATGAAACTTTTCATAGAGATACATAGATCTACTGAAAAATGTCTTGGGATGCAGAAAAATGATAGAAAAGCATCAAGAAACATGTGAAGTGAAATATTTTATAGACAAATACTGAAGAACCAGGATGTTTAGGAATTAATTAGATTGCAAATCAAACCATTTTTAGAGATTATCTGAAGAAGCCTCTTTTACTGATAGTAAGACAAGACACACGCTACAACTGGAAAATCTATTGTGAAACTAGCTCCTTCACATGTATCATTCCTTTAAAAAAATTTAAACTACATCTCATATATACTTTTAGATAAAGTTTATCTGCTTCTGTTTGTATATATCATATTTTACTTGTATCTCAGAGGTAAAAGTTTCCTTATAATAACAGTGGATATATATTTATGTTGTTAACTTTGAAGTATTAAGGAAGGTTCAGCCTACTTTCCTGTTTCATTAGGCTGGAGTATTATTATACCTTATCATGTGACTGAGGAAAACTTAGATGGGAGTAGAAATGCCAACTCTGTCCTGCTTGGCTTTATTCCTATGTGTTTGTGATGGTATTATTTTCAGTACATGGGTTCTTATAGCACATGTGTAAACGTATTTGCCTATTTCATGAGGATCACTGTATTTGAAATCTATAATAATATATTTTAAAAATCTGCTTCAATATGGCTAGAGACTCACAGCACACTGAATATAGATGAACTCGATTAGTCAGGGCTGTCACTTAACCTGATTGGTTGAGTCCCTAGTCCTCTGTCTACACATCACTATAGTAGAGGCTGAGTACCACCTGATACCAGGAGTTAGTGCAAGACAATGTCCTAAAAATCAATGGATTTTGTTCTATTGTCTTTCTATCCCAAAAGGCAAGATACATATCCACCTGGAAAAAACACGTGTCAACTTATGAAACCTTAGACAGCTGCTGCTTTGTAATAAAGATGCAAAATTGAAATGCATAACTGTGATTAAGCCTTTGTACTTTTAAAAACCAAAAATCTACTATATTTCTATGAGTTCATGATAAGAGAAAATTTATTCAAAAGTTCACATCTTTATTTGTGAAATGTTCATGTTTTATTAATGTGAACTATTTTATGTTGCTATTTTGAAAATGAAATTGTATCATGCATGCAAATTGCTGCCCATGGTGATCTGCTAATAAGTTAAAAAACTCTAATATTGCTGATATGAGAAGATGATGAGAAAAAGTAGCTACATTTTATTTCAAAATTATTTGCTAGAGATGGAGGATATAGATTTGGTTGGAACTAGGAAAGAAGCTTGAAGGTTAGACTAGAGTAAAAAGACTCAGTAATCTTCTAAATAATTTTCTATGGTGGATTCAAAATCATTCTCTGATATATTTTGAGGAAACATAACTTTCAAATGTAATCTCTATTTCTGTGAAAACTGATTACAGAGAAGATAAAAAGTTAAAAAAATACTATCTGATGAGAATAAGTTGTGCACAGAGAACTAACAATGAATGATCCCCGGCTCCCAAGGTTTGGGGGAGACTGATTGGTCTGTGTGAAGAAATGCCACCTGGGAGAGCAGCTAGCATGCCTTGTGACTCAGAATAAACACATTCATTGTGCTTGTGAATGGTGTCCTTGTAAGTCATATGTGTATCAGGGAGGCAGATTGGTTTGGTGGCTAGTGGCAGAATTTGGAGTCACAGCTCTGACTAGGGATTTTTTTTAGAGCCATGAGAACAGTGAAGTCAGGCGTTGGTGGTGCATACCTTTACTCCCAGCACTCGGGAGGCAGAGGTAAGTGGATCTCTGTGAGTTGAGGCCAGTCTGGTCTACAGAGCAAGTTCCAAGACAGTCTCCAAAAATAATACAGAGAAACCTTGTCTCAAAAAGCCAAAAAAAAAAAAAAAAAAAAAAGACTTCCTAAAACAAAGCAAACAAACAACAAAAAATTCCTCCAAAGAAAATGCTTCTTTTACTAGTAGTCTTCATATGTACCATGTGACAGATGAACACTTTTCAACATATAAAGGTTTTAAGTTCTGGGGAACTGAGTTTTAGTTGAGTAGTAGTTTGCTTGTTTACTATATACAAGGTGTTGGCATGTTTTCAAGAATTTGTATCTAAATATAACCTGAATTCCTTTTCACTGTATGTGATCAAACATAGACTTAAAGAAAATGTCTCAAAAGAATTAGAAAAATAATTATAAATACATGTAAAAGATACCACAACTTGATTAACTTGTTATATAGATAAATTTAATTAGAATATATTGATTAAGTCACCAAGCTATTCTTCCATGCTAATATAATTTAAACTTTACAAATACGTTATAATCTTAGAGCATGCTGGTATATAATATACTCATTAAGCTATTTTATATAAAAAACAAGCAATTTTGTCTTTATTTTATAGCACATACTGAAATCTATTTAACATACATTTCTGAATATAATACAAACTGCAATGCCTACAAATAGAAAAAATAGTGTAAGGAAAGAAATTCCTTAACATGTAACTGTAAAAGTTATGCATCATATAATAAAAATTCAAGGTAGTGATATTGAGAAAAAATCAGTGTGTGAAATTAGTAAGATGTAAGTTATTATGACAGTGAAGATACAGATATTTCAGTAGAAAAGGTAGAGAAACTGATCTACAACACAATTACCACAGGGACATCACAGAAGATGGAGTGGAAAGATTGTAACAGTCAGAGGACCAGCAAAAGTGCTGTGAAATTGTGTCTCCTAGAAAGGACAGGGTACCTTCACCAATGATACCTCAGCAATATGGCTGTCTAAGTAAGACCTGAAGAAGCACAGTATCGATAGACATTGCTAACACAGAAGGGGGTAATACCAAGAGTCCATACCTCTAGATAGGGAACTATAGACGACTAAGGGATGTTCAAAGTGGGAGAAATAGTCCTTGCCAGGGCGAGCCTTTTAATTGGTTATCCAGTGCCAACAGGTCAGCCCTGAAATTATATATATCCTATTAACACTAAAGAGATTCATAATTACACACAGATGCACGCACGCAGCACACACCAGTAACAACTAAAGAAAAGGAGGCCATGATTTTGAGTGGAAGAATAGTGGAAGATGAACATGCAAAGGTTTGGAAGGAGAAAAGAAAGGGAAAATGACGTAATTATATTTTATTTTTTTAAATAGAGAAGTAATACAAAGAAAGGATAATACATTTAAAATATTTGGTTCTGAGAGATGGTTGGGAAGTTCAGTGGAAAAAGTACTTGCTATACAAGCATGAGGTCCAAAGTTCAGAGCAAGTAAAAAATCAGGGCAGGTGTAGTAGCTGTCTGCCATCCCAGTACTTGGGAGGCAAAAACAAGCAATGTCTGCGGCAATCTGACTCGTTAGACTAAATGGCCAGTGAGCTCTGGGTTCATGTGAGAGAACCTGTATCAATAAATGAAGAGGAAGGTGTTGAAGACATCACCCTCTGTCAATTCTTGCCTTTGCCCACACAAGGGCACATATACATGTACACCCTCAAATACAAGTGGGCACATAATAAAAACATACATTCACACTCACAACTCATATGCATATCCGTGCACAAAAATCAGTTCAGTAAACAATCTAAGCTGACATAATTCCAGGATGCCTTGTGAGGAGTGCTGATATACTGGGATACATTATATTATTATTTATTGACGTGTGTTTTCCTCCAAGAATTCTATAAGGAAAGAAAAATTGGAATTCTACATGATAAATTTCCCTTTGGAGATTCACGGTGCTTCAAAAGTAGCTCAGAACTTCTACTACATTAATTAGAAGATGCAATTATTTTTCATCATAGTAAAATATACACAACATGAAATGTATTTTAAAGCATATTGTCCAACTACATTTAGTACATTATCCTCTAGTTCCAACTGTACAACTTTTCAATCAAAATCTGACTGGGTCTGTTTCCTTCTGGGAAATGTATTTCACTTTTTAATTTGGTGTGTGTAAAAGAGAATAAATTCATGGAAAAACTAATCAAATCTTCCCTTTTTAAAACTTAGAAAAATGTTGAGAAATTAAATGCCTTTCTTAAAATCACACTGGTAGTTAAGACAGCGTACGACTTAGGTATCCTATCTGAGGACACAGTATTTGGTATTTCAAGAAATTTCCCTTGTTGTTTCTATTTCTGTTCCTGTTCAGATTATTTAATAATCTAAAAAGTACATGCTGAAATTTTTCATAGAAGAGCTTGAGATTCAAATAGGCATCTTGGTCTGAGGATATAGCTCAGTCAGTAAAATACTTGCATAGGAAGCTCAAGGACCTGCATTCTACCCCCAGATTCTAGGTGAGAAACCTGGGCACCGAGCCTATCATCTCAGTTTAAGGTAGTGGAGTTTGACCCTGGTCCTCACTGGAGAGCCTATTTAGTGAGCTTAAGGTTAAAAAAGAACCTTGCCTGAAAGGACAGTGTTCCTAAAGATGGTACAGAGGTGACCCTTTGGCATCCACAAACATACACATCAACATACTCTCTCTCTCTCTCTCTCTCTCTCTCTCTCTCTCTCTCTCTCTCTCTCTCTCTCTCTCTCTCTCTTCTCTCTCTCTCTCTCACACACACACACACACACACACACGAAATAAGCACCTAATATTAACATTTATACTATGCTTGCTTTATGGCTTTATCATTGTGGTTTTCTTATGAGAACTTTCATTTTAATAACTCTAATCACACAATTCTGTTCTTAGGTCTATTTAAGGTCGTGGCTGACAAAACTCCGTACCTTACAATGGAAGAAATCACAAGAACCATTCAGATTGGATCTAGTAGACTAGGACATCCTTGCTTTTATCACCTGAAGGATATAAAACTAGAGAATCTCACCATAAAGCAGGGTGAGCCAATAAGGTTCAACTCAGTCGAAGAGCTCCATGGAGAAATGCTGGTGAACTGCGGTGTGGTAAGGGATCATCAGAGTCACTCATTTACTTTGCCACTGTCACAAGAAGGAGAATTCTATGAGTGTGAAGATGAACATATTTATACCCTAAAAGAAATTGTTGAATGGAAGATCCCTAAGAACAGAACCCGGACTGTGAAACTTACGAATTTCTCTAATAAGTGGGACTCACCCAATCCATTCCCTGAAGGCTTTTATGGTACTTTGATTCTCAAGCCTGTTTATGAAATCCAAGGTGTGCTGAAATGTAAGTATACACTGAGAATGGTATCCCAGGTGGGTGAGCATCACCGGGCTTTGTGTAGAAGCCCACAATGGATTTAGAAACTAAAGAATGGGACTCTGTGCCTGTCATTCATTAAGTCTCTCAGATTCTGCATCTGTACCTAAGAAAACCAAAGATAGATGTGTCTTAAGGAGCAAATTAAGTAGTGAGAATGCAGATATATTATAAACTGCATAATGCTATCCAATCACAAAATTCTGTAACTATCAGCTGCAGGTAGACTAAAACACTAGTTCTTTTTATTACCTGTTATTAATAGTTAATTTTTAGAATAAGCATCCAAAAGCAGCTTTCTTTTTTCTGTGACTTTTTAAATAATTCCAGCCTCTTATGACTGGTCACAATTTCTTTTAACAAAAATCTCTGACTTAAGGAAGACAATGTGGTGAATTATTTTTACACTAGTGTATTTAAATACACAATCTTCACTCCTTTTTTTATATTTTAAAAGTATCTGTGTAAGTCATTGTTATTCCAAAGATATTGATACCTCAAGATTTAAAGCTTATTGCCTGTAAATGGGGCAATTAGTGGATTATAGAATTCTGAACCAAGTTCTAGTCAAGTCTGATAGCATGCCCAATAATCCTAGCTTCTCTAGAGGCTGAGGAAGGAAGGTGGCAAGTTCAGGCCTGCCTGGGCAACACAGAGAGTTCAAGGCCATCCTGGTCAACTTAGCAAGATTTGGTCTCAAAATAAAAAATAAAAAGGGCACAGAATACAGCTGAGGACAACTGCTTAACATAGGTGAGGTTCAAGACTCAATAACTTTCAAAATGGGAGCTTTGAGCAAGTTGTGTTTGCTCTCATAGAGTTGTTTTTGAAATTGAAATAAAGTAAAACTAAAGAACTTAAGATCATTAAGCTTTGTCAAAAGATACCTCCTTAAATGTCTCAAAATTGACTTTTCTCTGCCATTATTATTCTTACAAACTTACAAAAAGAAATTATGTGAGTCTTTTGACAGGTTTTAGAGTTGTGTGTTAAATTCTAGCATGCTAAAAGTTAATTAAAGTTTGGTCAATTCATTTTTTAACTAAAGGTATAAGAATCATTTGTGTAGTTTAGAACTCACAGTAGTGTTCTGTTAGCTGTCTCAAAGCACACAACTGAGATGGATAGTTGAGTTTTTCTTACTGTTCTTGTTTTCAAATCAGCAAAATTTCAAAAATTATCATCTCTTACCTATCACATGCTTACAAATGAGAACAAACATGTAGAGGTTAGAACTTGTAAGGAATTTGGATTATGAATCTAGTGCTGGTAGATGGATGAAAGGTAGTCAAAATGATGCAAGGACAAATTTAAAAACCCACTGCAAAGGCAACCTGTGGGAAAGTGGGTAAGCAAGTGAATGAAAATTTAGCACAGATGAGTGGACAGAGATAAACATAAAAATGCAAATGGCAGGTGTGTGTGTATGTATGTATGTGTGTAACCATCCATAGAAGGTCATGAAGTCTATTCAAAGAGATAAACAAGATTTATCCTAATCAAGAAATATTGTTAACCTTGGGGAGGCAGAACATAGAAGTATAGTAATTCCATTGGGAAATCCAGCTGGATTAGAGTTCTGTTCAATGGACATTGAAATGAGAAAGATAGGAAACTCAGATGCACTTAATATACAAGATGTGCTATCAGCAGGATCTAGAAGGCTATTGGACAGGTACTCGGTCAACTGATCAACCTTATTCTCAGCCCTTGATTTCATCTAATGGTGGAATGATATGCACTTATTAAATATGAACAGCAGAAGAGCAGGATTTGTCAAAAGAACTGTTCAGGTAGATTTAAATAGAGTTTTCTGTTAACCAAAAAACATCCTTTGAACATCCTGTTTTAGCCCTGTTTCTATTATACATTAGAATAAAAATTTCATATTCCTTATGATGGGTCACATTTTCAGGAAAATTACAATGTTACTTCTTAACTATATTGGTAACTCAGGATATTTGTGTATGAGACTTGCTTTCATGTATACAGACAGAAGAATATTTCATGAAAACCAAGGATGGGAATCAAATGCCCCATTAGACAAACAAAAAACCTTCTGATTTTATAGGTGTTTTCCCCTAAATATGACAAGGAAATGATGCTTTCACACCATTGTGGCTTTCTTTTGCATGACTTTTTTGAACGAGTTCAGATACTTCCTTGAACCCAAGAGACATTGCACAGTTGCTTTTGCCATGCTTGGGTATCAGTCTAAACACCTTAGGCTTAAGTCCATTTTCCCCCACAAAGTGACAGGAAAAGAACTGGTCTGAGGAAGATATAATGTTGTATAGTAACCTTAGAGGAAGATGGAAAATCATGGACACCAAAGAGCTATGAAATATTGATTTCCTAAAAAAAAACATAGCAAGCAACTAAAGAGGGCATACAAATATTTTACTCTTATAGCTTGCTTTTAATATGTTGTTAATATGACTATTTATATCCCAGACAAAGGAAAAACAGCAGAAATGACACAGTTTCTCAACATGTGGGTCTTAACCCCATTGGGTGTCAAACATTCCTTTCACAGGGGTTGCCTAAGACCATCAGAAAACACAAATTTTACATTACAATTCATAATATCAGCAAAATTATAGTTATGAAGTAGCAATGAAAATAATTTATGATTGGGTGTTGGTCACCACAACATGAAGAACTATATTAAAGGGTCATAGCATTAGGAAGGTTGATAACCACTGTGTTAAAGGGAAAAACATATTCTTGGTTTCTGGTCAAAATTCCCTTTTAGGCTTAATATCTTTCTGGCTATTAGACACACTCAAAGATTGATCAAAGTGTTATTATGTTCTCAGGATGAGTAACTATCCAAAACTATTGGTCTCATATAAATCATTTCAATACATATATCTGTGTGAAGGTTTCTATTACTGTGAAGGGATAACATGATCATTGCAACCCTTATAAAGGAAAACATTTAATTGGAGTGACTGGCTTACAGTTCAGAAGTTTAGTTCATTGTCATCATGGCAGGAGGCAAGGCAGCATTCTGGCAGACATGGTGATGAAGAAGGATCTGAGAACCCATAGTTAATAGGAAGTGGTCTGGGACACTGGGAATGGCTTGAGCATGTATGAAACCTCAAAGCCCACTCCCACAGAAACACACTTCCTCCAACAAGGCCATTACTACTCCAAAAAAGTCACACCTCTTAATAGTGCCACTCCCTATGGATTTATGGGGGCCAGTTACATTCAATATACCACAAAGTTTTTCTGTTTTTTTTTAAATATGAAATTCATGTGATTGGGCACATAGAAGTATTTACTAATGAAAAACTGAGTCCTTTATTTAAGTCTGTTTTATAAAAAAATGGAAGTCTTCAACATTGACTTCCTTAATATCATTTTTTGATGCACTGATTAATAATTCATTCATTCCTAACTAGAAAGAAATATTCAGCATCATGCAGATACCTTTGTCTTTTAGAGGAGAGCTTAATGCTGCCCAAAGTTTGGAGGCCCAGTCTTCACAAAGTTATAGATAAACACCTACTCATGTCATTAGCAGATGGGTGAAATCACTAAGTACATAGAAAGGAGACTCAGAAAGGTAGTTTTTGATATTGTATTTAGATGATAAGTGAACAGGCGAAAAATTCTTAGTTACCTAAAGCCTTATTCTTTACCATGCTATTTCCCTTCTTTCTGTCATTTAACTTTAAAAATACTTTTAACTTTCTTGAGAATCAAAAAACTGAGTATTATCCAAGACAGATATGGCAAAATTACACGCAAACCTTATGGCTTTAACTGTTCTCAAACTTCCCCTACATTCTTCTCTGTGGTAACTTTTTTTTAGTAATTTTCTCTCCTACTTTCTAATATTCACCTTCCCATTTCCAAATGATAGGAACATTAGTGGTTTTTAAGTCATGGACTATTTCAGATAGTAATAGCTAACTTTTTCATATGGCCAGGGGGTGTATTATTTCCCATTTCCAATCTCTCAGTGCATGGTGTCACGTCTCACCATCAATATTTCTGTTAATATAGTGCTGACCCAAGTATTTTGTGATGAGTATAACTCTTTTTTTTCTGTCATGATGACCTTGTTGTTGTTGGTTTTTTTTTGTTTTTTTTTTGTTTTTGTTTTTTGTTTGTTTGTTTGTTTTGGTTTTTACGAGACAGGGTTTCTCTGTATTGTTTTGGAGGCTATCGGTCCAGCCCGGCCTCGAACTCACAGAGATCCGCCTGCCTCTGCCTCCCGAGTGCTGGGATTAAAGGCGTGCGCCACCACTGCCCGGCTCGACCTTGCTGTTTTGGCATGGACTTTTTCAGTCCTTTCCTAAATCCCCAAGATATCTATGTAAAGGAAGACAAAAGAAAAAGAAACCCAGCCAATGCAATTTCCCAGAGTGAGGCTATCAGTAGATCTCTATGTGGTATGATTTTCCCTTGAGGGCATTTCTTCTAGAGTCCCAAATTGTTATACTGCAGCCTAATCTGCTGACAGACATATTATGTAGGGGCTTCCATTTCAGACCATCCTTACAATGCCTTCTTCTGCCTTGTATTTGTGTTGAATAGTTGATTCTCTAATCAAATAAGGAAATTCCCTTTTTTCCTTTTCTTCCTGTTCTGATGAAGTCCATTCCCCACATGCATCATAAGATAAGTAAAGAAACTGTAGGCCTGAAAACTCTTATCCTCCATGCCTACACACATGACAGACAGTTTAACCACTATAAAATTCTAGCTGGACAACAATTTCCAGAAATCTCTGCTCCTTCATCTTCCTCTTGTGATTGCCTTTGAGAGACTGTGGCATCCTGGGATCTCTACTGTGGCCTGTGGTGAAAAAATTGTTCTTTCATAGCGATGACAATTTTTGGATCTGGAAATTTAGGAGTTTTGTTTCTGAAAAAACTTTTTTGACAATATCTTCTCCGTAACATTTTGTATTCTGTCTTTCTTTCACTTCCAATTGCATATTAAATCCT